GTGGAGATGCTGTGTGTTTCGTTGTGAAAGCGAAACTACTTTGTTTGGCCTGCCAAAAGAGGACACAACTAGAAATCAGTGGTTAAGTTGTATTTACAACACTGTTCCGGAACAGTTCAACCCAAATATTCAGATGTGTGCTGCGCATTTTACAGAGGACGAGGACTGTTTCCTGTGAGAGTAGCCTACAATGCCGGTGTCGTGCTGAAAATTGATCGTCTGCCGAAAACTGATTGCCGTCCGCGTCCATTCGTTTTACACTTGCCAAAAAGTGATTACAGACTCTACTTAGTGAGTGAACTGTTCTCTCTGCCTCAAAATGACTTGATTTCATTCATGGTTGTTATATTTGATAGATTATAGCTCATTCAGTCCTTTTTACCTGTTGAAATAGCTTTAAATGGCCAATAAAACCCATAAAATGCCGTTTTACACTTGCCAAAAATTTTACTGTTCTTTCTGCCTCAAAATTACTTGATTTCATTCATGGTTGTTGTCAAAAAGTATTTCAACAGGTAAAAAGGACTGACGATCAATTTCCGGCACGACACCGCGTCACAGGCTCGAGGATGGAGAAGCGAGGAAATGAGGAAGCATCAGTTTGAGTTTAGAGAATTTCCCCACAACTGCTTTTTGCTCAGAGACGCGCAAACGTTCGCGCATTTTACAGAGGACGAGGACTGTTTCCTGTGAGAGTAGCCTACAATGCCGGTGTCGTGCTGAAAATTGATCGTCTGCCGAAAACTGATTGCCGTCCGCGTCCATTCTATGGGATACGCCCGTACTGCGTATTCCTCAGAAACCCTATTATATTACGCCAGCCCCAATTGGCTGGCAGACATGACGTTGTGTCTGGGAGTGGCCTCCCCACCCCTCAGTATAAAAGGCGTGACACAACGTCACTACGACATTCAAAAACCTCTTCTCGCTTCACACCAGAAGCCTACAAATTAGATATACCTTTAACAAACTCCTAGACGAACAACTGGCCTCCACGCCGTTTTTCGCCTGACTCCTTCAATTTGCATTCCAGCCGATTGCAAGGACTGTTCGATATTACTATGGCTGCAGCAATGCAGACTGTCCCGGCTAGTGAGGGAGATGCCGTGCGACTTTGTTCATGCGGGAACAAAATTTCAAGCAAGGACACACACCAGGTCTGCTCTGCATGTCTTGGGCTGAAACATGCTCAATTGGCGATCGAGAACCCCGGTTCCTGTGAACACTGCGCACGCTTCACTATGAAGAGCCTTCGTCGCAGGCTAGCACGCCAAGCTAGCCTGTCAGGCCACGATCCCCTCATGTCACCTAGCCCCGTTCCAGCTGCCACTCCGCAGGTACCCATCCCTGTAGAGCTGCCCACCACGGCAGCTTTATCCTGGGGTGAACAGCTTGACGTTTGCGTCCCTCTGTCCAGTGTGCTCAGCACGGACGAGGAAGAGGACGCGCTTGATTTCGAGGAAGAGGGACAATCGGACTTTCTAATCTCTGAAGAAGAGGAAGATTTCGAGGACTCCCCTTTCCTCCCCCCTGCGCAACCGGCACAACCCCTCGCCGCAGCGGGATCCACGGAAGATGCGGACTGAGCACCATCGGAAGAGGTGTGCTTGTTTTGAATGTCGTAGTGACGTTGTGTCGCGCCCTTTGTAATGAGGGGTGGGGAGGCCACTCCCAGACACAACGTCACGTCTGCCAGCCAATTGGAGCTGGCGTAATGTAATAGGGCTTCTGAGGAATACGCAGAAGGGGCGTATCCCATAGTGAGACACCTCACTTAATGCTATCAGAGAACCGGGGTTACGCAAGTAACCTATTGTTT